TAACATATAGGCCTACTCATAGAACAACTAAATTGACAGCTATTGCAGGTTTGTAAAAAAATATACATGCTAGATAACAATAATACACACACATACATACACACGCACACACACATAATATATATATATATATATATATATATATATATATATATATATATATATATATATATATATATATATATATATATATATATATATGTATATTTATACCAATTATTTTTTATTATTTGCATATTTTCCTAACAACTTATTAGTTTCTTATTCCCATTTGATCTAGATAGTTTCCTTTTCCCTATTACATCTCGCTATGTTTGGTAATATTGTTATAATTTTTGAAATATAATTTTGAGATACATTTTAATCAAACAAGTGTGATCAATTTTTAAGCAAAGATTGTTTATAATTAAACAGAATAAGCCCATTCGTCCACAAATGTATATTAAAAACTTAGATTTTATCGAAAAAAATGTATCTTTACTCAGATTCCTCAACGCTTCATACGTGGCCTTCGTTAAAGGGGACTTCTATAACTGTAGACGAAATCACAGAAAAATTGGAAAGGTTTTTTAATTTTTTTTAATTTTTTATTCTCCATGTCCCTGTCTTGTAAAATTTCCCATACAAGAACTCTGAGAGTTAATTAAATATAAATTAAACTCTAATGGAATATCGTGGTCGAATGGTGAATCAAAAGACGTTTACCCGGATATATCCAGTTCAGTTCTAAAACTCGAGTCGATAGGACTCTAGAAGGCAAGATTCGAGTGGAGGTGGGGGGGGGGGGGGTGATAAAGCGGCCAGGCATAGATGTGACTACACAATCCATTCATATATCAGGTCAAGGAAAGAGATTAACTAAATCTCATATCTGAACTGGTATTAGGTCCCCATGTATACGTATTTAGGACGTGCAATGTATCAGACATGACATACAATGCGGTAGACTTTCACGTGTAAACACGACAAAATCTCAGTTATTCTAGATGTCATTTTAGTCGGATAATGCTAAACATAATTTGCTCAAATATTTTATAAAAGAAACAAGTCAATTTAAAACTCCCATTTATATGTAAAAGTAAAGTTTCCCTTTCAAACCTGACGGTCTATGGGGCAAGTGAAGTAGAGTTCACTTGTTTCTGTGACCACGGCATATGAAGAGATAGTGTGGTCAGCACTATGCCCAGCCGCCTTTACTTTCCATCAGAGTTGGGTGGACTCAGGGACGGTCTACTGACTTGGACCCGGATTCGAACTCGAGACTTACGGGTTAGCAGTCCAGCTCTCTACCGCTAGACCACTCCGTCCCATTTATATGTAGATCTATGTAAATCTCTCATTTGCGTGTAGATCTATGTAAATCTTCCATTTAGGTGTAAATCTTTGTAAATCACTCATTTAGGTGTAAATCTGTGAAAATCTCCCATTTAGGTGTAAATCTGTGTCTATAACCCACAACCCCGCGTGTAAAGACGTCCATGAACACCCACTGGAGTACTGGAGGTCGGAGTCTAACAACACCAGTGACGCCATCTCTAGGATGGTCCTTGCGTCACAGTGAGTCGTGCGTCACAAAAAATACACTACTACTAGATCTAGATAATGTATTTACATTGAAATAAAATACAATTACTTGAAATTAAGTGTCGATTACGTTTTGGCATACATAAAATAAATATTATCAAAAGCATAAAAATTTAAACCTGTTTTATGTCCAGTAAAAGAGTAAATTATTTATTGCTAAAAGTTAGTTTATGTTTAGCAGCCTCAAAATTTTGTCTGTTTGGCTAGAAGAAGCGGTCTCTGAACAACCTAGATGATTTAAATATTCCTGTTAGAGGAGAATTTAAAACAAAAATTGCTATTTCGACGAATAACATTGTTTAGTTATTTTCAGTTTGAATGCTTGAGTTACCAATTATTGTAAAAACAAAAATTAATTCCCCAGATGCTGTGCTTTCAACCACACGGAGCTGATGATCCCAGCCCCCCACCCCCAGCTCTACCCCTGGGAGAAAGACTTCCTGTCCCACCCACCTCTATGGGATATCAGAGACATCGCGTCAGCGGACAACTCCAAAGTGGTTTTAGTCAATGACTCCAGCACGTTCAGACTAGGGGACATCATCAACATTCAAGTGGTGCTGTTTAATGGGAGAGGGGAGAGAATTACAATAGGTAATGTCATATTTACTGGGTTGTTTAATGGGAGAGGGGAGAGAATTACAATAGGTAATGTTATATTTACTGAGTTGTTCAATGGGACAGAATTACAGTAGGTAACGTCATATTTACTGGTGTTCTAAGGGAATGGGTAGAAAGTAAATCAGGACATCCTTTTCATGATATATTTTATGATTTCTGGTATAGTTGGAAAGGTTGTAATCGTGAAAAAAATGGACATCGAGACATTGACAAATCATAACAAATCTTTTACCTTTCTGTCTTATAAAAATAATTGTTTAGCAATCTGGTCTCTGAATGTATATCTATGACCCTCCCAATATATTAGTGTGTGTGTGTTTGCGGGTGTGTGTGTGTGAGAGAGAATATATATATATATATATATATATATATATATATATATATATATATATATATATATATATATATATTTATTTATATATATGTGTGTGTGTGTGTGTTTGTGTGTGCGTGTGTGAACACCATTACTTGAGTACTGTAGAACCATTTAATTATGTGTTAGTTAAATTTCCTGTGTAAATGCTAGCTGAGAGATCCTATATGTATGTTTCTATTACGTTTCATCACCTCTAACTTACCCAGTTTCGGTTTTTCTTTAATTTACAGAATTATAATATTTCTATTTCATCCATTTTTGTTCCTCAAAAATGTATAGAATTTGATTTTTTTCTATTTCATACATTTTCTGGTTTCTCAAAAATGTATAGAATTTGATTTTTCTATTTCATACATTTTTTGGTTTCTCAAAAATGTATAGAATTGGACTTTTCTATTTCATACTTTCATAAATTAGAATATTCTGAAATTGTTTCGCTTTTTTTGTATTTTTCCAAAACGTCACAAACTTCCACTTCTCGTCTGCTTTGTTTTGATAAATCAGGTTTTCACTAGAAACGAAAACTGCTATGTCCAGGGACAGATTACACATTTTGTCTATAACGAACCTCAGTCTGCTTGAATATATTCTTAAAACAAGCAGGGAAATCTAACTTTATTTTGAAATACCTTTAAATCAACTTTTTTTTTCGATGTAATGGTTAAGTTTGAGGGGCCGGCGTGGTCGAGTCGGTAAACCTCATGGTTGAGTTCGAACCCTCGGGCAGATGAGGCTCGTTAGCTGGGGACAGCCACTATTCTAGAAGAGGCAACTCCAAAATCAATCGACTGCTGCCTTGTAGTTTGTTCTTGGTTGGACAAAAGCTATGGAAGCAAATCCAAAAAGAAAAGCAGGCTGAAATCGGAGTCAATGGTCTCAATGGCGCATAACCAATTGACACGCATACTTAAATGGATCCCTCCGAACACTAAAATTAAGGACGAAGAAGAATTTAAGTTTGAAATTTTATTTATTAATTTATTGAATTTATTTATGTAAAGTAAATATGTTGTTTTAAATGTACAATAAATTATTATAAGAAATATCTACGAGTTTAAAATAGTTGTGATAAAACAGCATCAACATTCAATGGACCTCTTTTGGAGCATAAGAAGCAAACACTCCTCGCTATCGCACTCGGTTTAGGGCGATTCCCCATAGTCGGGTCCACGACATTCCGGCTATTTCTCCTTCACTGACAAATGATCTTTTTTTCAAATTTGTTTTGACCTACCTACTTTCCACTTTCCTCTGTGATTCCAATCTTGTATCGGTCTGGAAGTGTTTGTTGGGTTTGAAGGGTGTGGCTGATCACTGAGATATGTTGACAGTAAGACAAACATTATACACACCTGTATGTGCAAGTGTGCAATGATCCAACCTTGACCTCCCCAGGTGTGGCTAGTCCCAGACACTCAGACAGTAAGACAAACATTAGACACACCTGTATGTGCAGGTGTGCAATGATCCAACCTTGACCTCCCCAGGTGGGACCAGCGTCAGGGTGTGGCTGGTCACTGACTCCCTTAAAGCCGCCATCGCTGCTGACGTCACGGATAATTTAGACGGGACGTATCTGGCGTCTTGTCCGTTACCATGGAGTGGGTCAGTGAAGGTCAAGGCCGCTATCGCCCATCACAGAGAACTCTTCCGGACGATTCTATTTTTAAAAGTAAGTTTTTGAAATTATTCTTTCACAAACTTAAGAAAAGGGATTTGGAGGGGGGGGGGTGGCGTTGTTAAAGGATGTTAAGCAAGTGTGAGGTTAATCTTTTCATTTTTAAACTTATTTTTAAACTTGATTCTTTACATATTTTTTCTGTTTAGAAGACATTTAAGTAAACTTTCGTATTTTTGTATTAGCTCCTAACTATTTTTATAAGCTCTTAACTCTAGTATTTTTTAAAGCTTCCTAATTGCTTATTTTAAAATTAGCTCTTACCTCGTTTTTTAAGAGGATATTTACAACCACTTGCTGGGAAATTGCCACCTTTTCTAACGGTGCAGGGTCAGAGGTCACGATATGCTCGGCCCTCCCTAAACTACCCGGCTACAACGTCACTGAAATGTGTAACCTTACAGAGGTCAACCAGTTCCCGTGGTATTGTGGGAAACCCCGGCACCTAAAAGTAAGAACTTTTCCCATTTAGATATTACTAATAAAAATGGTGTCTAGGTCATATAATTTATTTTGTATATTGAAAATCCTAACACATAAAGAGTGCGTTAATTTCTGAAAATATAAATAAATACCCTGTTTTATTTTTGCTCAATAAATTAAGTATAAGGTCTGTCTGGTCACAAAGAAAGATAAAAGGCAATTTAAAAAATCTTCAAGGTGTTATGCAAATTTGTTTTCAATGTGGAAGAGGAAGAATATATGCAATAAAAGCTTTACTTTTAAACGAATGTATACAATATGGGCTTTCCGTTACATTACAAATTTTGTAGCACTTGGAATATAACAGTAGACACCATGAAGTTAACAGTAGGCACCCTGAAGTTAACAGTAGACACCATGAAGTTAACAGTAGACACCCTGAAGTTAACAGTAGACACCATGAAGTTAACAGTAGACACCCAAACGTTAACAGTAGGCACCCTGAAGTTAACAGTAGACACCATGAAGTTAACAGTAGACACCATGAAGTTAACAGTCGACACCATGAAGTTAACAGTAGACACCCAAACGTTAACAGTAGGCACCCTGAAGTTAACAGTAGACACCATGAAGTTAACAGTAGACACCCTGAAGTTAACAGTAGACACCATAAAGTTAACAGTAGACACCATGAAGTTAACAGTAGACACCCAAACGTTAACAGTAGGCACCCTGAAGTTAACAGTAGACACCATGAAGTTAACAGTAGACACCCTGAAGTTAACAGTAGACACCATAAAGTTAACAGTAGACACCCAAACGTTAACAGTAGGCACCCTGAAGTTAACAGTAAACACCATGAAGTTAACAGTAGACACCATGATGTTAACAGTAGGCACCCTGAAGTTAGCAGTAGACACCATGAAGTTAACAGTAGACACCCTGAAGTTAACAGTAGACACCATGAAGTTAACAGTAGACACCTTGCCATTAACTACAAAACCTTATTAGAAATGAAACCAGTTCCGGCTACATGTCATGTCTGAAAACTTCATTCATAGTAGACTCACCCCTGCAAACAACGTTTAATACACAATACACAGATACTATTAAAGGTCATTGCAATCATATATATATATATATATATATATATATATATATATATATATATATAATCAATTTATGTACGTATCTGCATTACATTAATACGATTCGTTCTTGACAAACTTAGCTACACTTGTTATCCCAAGATAACCCAGAAACTAAGTCATTATTTTTTGTATCTCTCCTAGTGTGGAGATTTTAAAACTTCCAGAGATATTGGCAATCCCAACCTCCCAATGACGGCAGCTGAGGAAAAGTTGATACATCTGACAGAGAAGTATGTCGAGTCTAGGGAAAATTAGATGTGTTTATTTTAAACTATTGGAAAGTTAAATACAGAGGAACATTTAATGCCGTTAAAGCAGTGGTTCTTAAATTAAGTTCGATTGAACCCCAGGGGTTAGGTGATCAAGACACACACTAAATAAAAACAGGGGTATGGTGGATGTGCATATAAAACGTGTGGTGTTCTGTGCCTCCTGAAGGGCAACAACCACTGATCTAAACGACATTTAAGTAGATCTATGTTAATTCAAGGGATAAAAAGATGTTTTTGATCAACAACTTGTAGACGTGAGATAATGAAACCTGAGGTTATGGAAAATTTTAAAATAAAGTTTCGTTTTGTGTCAAACATATCTTATGGTAAATGAAAACGTATTTTAAATGGTTATATTTTATACTTACAACCAAAATATCTAGTATAATTTTATATTTATTATTTGAATTGAATTTTTTATTTCTTTTTAAATAACAAAAATATTGTGATCATGAAAAGGAATTTTAAAAATAATTTTTGCAGTAATCGCCCTTTCATGATTCCATCAAAAATTACACTTCAAGTTGTATCAGGTACGTTACGTTTTGTATTTCTGCATTAACTTTCCAAATTTATAGATACTTGTAATAGTTAAAGCTAGAAATCGTAATCTTACCCTCAATCTCTCTCTCATTCTCTCTCTTTCTCTCTTTCTCTATCTATCTCTCTCTTTCTCTCTCACACTTTCTCTTTCTTACCATACATCTTTCTTACTATTAAAATTGTATTTTGACATTTCTGGTTAGAAAACAGTACAAGAGTTCTGTCGTCACAACTTCCATGTTCCAAAAGGAATTTGTCAGAAACATTTGATGACGTCAACACATCCGGGTATTTTTATGACGCACAATGGCGACCTCGGCGTTGTCAACTTCCGGTTATAAACAAAGATTTCCTGCTCACGTGTTTGAGATGAACAAAGGTTGTAACATTTAAACTGAGTTTTGTTCTTTACTGGCCGTTCTAGCATTCCTTTTTAAACTCACTTTAAACGGTTTTACTTACTTCACAGCGTCCGTTTGTAGTCATCTATATATATAATTCTCCTCTTCGAGCCGTTAGAAAACAAGCTGCAAACGCTCTCCCTACCTCCCCACCCCTACATGGTTTTAGTGAGCTGTGTTCACTCTAAATGTTTACAAGCAGAGCCAACGATTTTAAACGTAGGGGGGGAGGGGGGGGGGAAGGAAAGGGGGGGTTGGGTTATGGTCCTTAACGAGCTACTTATAGTGTTTTAAAGAAATATTTTCAGTGTCAGCGTTGGTACTGTCGAATTCACAAATTATGAATTATTGAAAATTAGAAACAACTAAATAGCGGCGTATGTTATGCCGCGGGCCGGCTCGTTAAAATATAATTAAACAGTTTCGAATCTAAGGAGTCTATCAAGATTAAATGCTAGCGATCACTCGATAGATTACTATATTCAATAAGAGAAGGGGAGCTAACTAGCTAGAAGCGATCACCCTAACAGTCTAGTGAGCTGCGGTTCACGAGAATGTTTACAATCGTAGAGCCGAGTCAGGTTAGTGAAGGCTTTGAGGGGCAGGTAATAAAGTTTTATGTAAACAAATTGAAATTAACTGGAAGTAGCGGGTTTAAGAAATATCGATCGCTTAATCAGCTTGCAGTAGTCAGAGGCGTAGCGAGGGGGGGGGGGGGGCGGGGGTGCGGACCGCACCTGGTGACACCATTAAGGGGGTGACACCAAGGCAAAAAATAGCAAAATATTGAGAAAAATGATAATTTCACTTAATTAAGTGATTAATTCGAGTGTAAAATAGTGTTTTAAGAGGTGCAAATCGAAAGTTTGAGGGGGGAGGGTGCAAATCGAAAGTTTGAGGGTGGGGTGCAAATCGAAAATTAAAAGTTTGTCCCCGGGAAGGTTTGCTATGTCTCTGGGGGTGACACCATTAAGTGCCGCACCGGGTGGCACCCGACCTCGCTACGCCACTGGCTGTAGTCTTTAATTGGTGATCACAGATGGCTGCTTTCACGGGGCAGGTAATCGTCTTTCAGTGATCGCAAGCTTCTGATGGTGTTTTAAAGCAAATATTTTAATGGCAGCAGTAGTAGTGTCGACTTCATAAATTATGTATTACTAACAAAATTATATCTTTTTTTTCTAACAAGAAGCTTTTATTAGTACTTAAAATTTTAAAAAATCTAAATTGATTTATTTCAAAAATGCTTTGATCACTAAAATGTGTAAAAGATCTCATGAGCGACCAAAGTTTTCATAAAAGAAGGGCAAATATCTCTAAATATATAAATGTAAAGATTATTGCTACATATATTAAAATGTATATTTCAATTATTTCTAATAATATGGTTTACTTTACCAAAAGCTGCAACATTTACTGTGCGATTTAATGATAGCAAATTAAAATCAAGGCTCTTGCATCTACTCTTCTCACCTGCTGTGCAGGTGTACCTGATAGGTGACTCCAATGTGAGAGAACAGTACCTTTGCTTTAGTAAAACTATCCAGTGTCAAGAAAAAATACACATGACAAAGGTAAGACGTTCGACACTCGTACATACGATCAGATATTCAATTTTTATATTCTGTATTTGCTATAACACAAACTGGCAATTCTTTAATTCTAAGAATCATGAAAGATCCCTCGGTGTACTTGAGAGTTTACCAGAGTTTCTTCCAGGCATCTCTTCGCGGGGGCTGCGCCCCCCCCTCCCCCCCCCCCCACCCCGTAGAAAGTCTACCGCCCCCCCCCGAACGAGATGGATTTTATAAAGTAAACATACACTTTTACTAGAGTCCGTCCCCCCCCCCCCCTGAAAATTGTTGATCTCCCCCCTCCCGGAAATTTCAAGTGCCCCCCCCCCCCCCCGAGAAAAAAGTCTGGAAGAAACGCTGGAGTTTACTAAGTATATATTTTATGGTCTTTTAAATATTTTTTATACGTCTAAGTTTGCTTGACATAACATTTTAACAACAGAGCACGTTATAAGTGGGACAATAAAGGCTAGAAATAGAGAGCTAGCTAGACAAGTCTCGAGTTCGATTTCGGGTTCAATTTAGTACACCGTCCCTAAGTCCACTCAGCTCTGATGGGTACCTAACTCAAGTTAGGGAAAGTAAAGATGACTGGGTATAATGTTGACCACATCCCTTCATATGTCGAGAACTCTACTTCGCATGCCCCATGGAAAGTCAGGTTGGAAAATGGAACTTAACTTTCTTTTGTGATGGATGGCCGTGTTGACAATCAACCCTAAATTTATAATTTTAATGATGCGCAGGTATATTCATTTTTATAATGATATAATTAAAACAAAATATATACTTTACCACTTATTTTTGTTCTAGATAATATATACATATATATATATACATATATATATACATATATATATATATATATATATATATATATATATATATATATATATATATATATATATATATATATATATATATATATATATATATATATATATATATATATATATATATATATATATATATATATATATGTAGTTGACATGGCACGCCCCCTTAAGGTGTGATGTTGAAAGCATGAATATATCTATCAATTACCTCCCACATAAACTGCCTTTTTACGGAAATCAGGTATTCATATATAATAATTAATTAAATAATTAATTAAATAATTCGTTAAATAATTAATTAAATAATTAATTAAATAAATCATTAAATAATTAATCAAATAATTAGTTAAATAATTACTTAAATAATTAGTTAAATAATTAGTTAAATAATTAATTAAATAATTAATTAAACAAGTAATTTAATAATTAATTAAATAAATAATTAATTGAATTATTGATTAAATTATTAAGTAAATAATTAATTATCAGACTTTTCAATAATTGTGTACGCTTTATCTTTTAGATATTTTGTTTCTGACATTCAATTCAGTAAATAACTAAAATAAGTGAGAAAAAAATAATTTAGCAAAAATTAATAATATTGACACACTTAAAAAGTACGACTTTAAAGGTAAATCTAATTAATGTTATATTATTTTTAAAAAGCAAATGTTGTTCCATACCCCAGTATGACAGAGAATTTAAGAACTTTGGTGGTCCATACCCCAGCATGACAGAGAACTGTAGAACTTTTGATGGTGGTCCATACCCCAGGCGGTCTTTCTAGTAGATGAAGTAGATTTCGTCTGCTGCTTTGACATCGCATGTTAATGTGGTCAGCTCTATGTCCAGCCTCCTTTCTTTTCCTTAACCGTGAGGCAGGTACCGTGATCCAAACTCAATACTTTCGCGTTAGCATTTCATCAGTCGACCGTCCCAACAATTTAATCGAATTTTTCATTTAAAATGCTCAATTTATTCTATTCTTTTATTAACTTACTATGTTGTTCAGTGCGGGAAAAAAAACAGTTACATGTAAAAGTTGTAAAATATACGAATTATTTACGTTTAACGGATTACGCCTTAAAACCTAATTTCTTTTAAAAATATATCTCAGGATGAAGATTTACGAAACGAAGATCTGTATTCAGCAATGCAAGTCATGGACAGCATCCCAACCACAGGTAGATACATCGTGCACCTGCACGAGTTTCTTCACCTGGCGCATTCTCAC